CATAAATGCTCTATCTTATATATGGTACCAACCTACAACTTTTCAATATTTTTTTAAAAATAAAGCACTACAACAATTTTATTTCCTTAACCTTTCAGGCATCTTCCACTTTCTAAGTCACTGGGCACAAAAGAACAGGAAGTGCTGATTGTGCAGTATTTGCTTGCAGAGACCAGAAGAGGTTCTGATAGGTGGAGCCAAAAGTCCACATGCTGGAGTCATTATGGTGCTGGCACCACTCCCTTTACCCCCTAACTAAAACATACATGAAACCAAAGTGAGAAGGCTCCATCCTGATGCAACCTTTATGGTGAGCAATAATGCCTGAGCTGTGATTCAAACCCTCTTCAGTTGAATTCTGAAAATGAGCTGATTTGGAGGGGATGAGAAGGACTGAAGGTGTAATCTTTGTATTTAAAAAAAACTGCAGAGAAGTCATTATTAGAAACTTGTTTATCGATTTTTTTGAGCTAAAATCCCTCAACTGAGGGCGTAAAAATATCTGCGTACGTAACACTGCCAAAGAGTAGAATGCAATCGTTTGGAGAGGGAGGGAAAAAAGGGAGGCACCACGTGCCAGGTTAAAAACCTCACACAAAATGGCTCATCAAAAGGAAAATAGTCTGTGGTTCCTCTAAATATTGTCTCAAGTACAGCGCTACTGGTCCTCCAAAAAAAAAAAAAAAAAAAAGAGAGAGAGAGAGAGAGCTTGGACTAAATGTCTCTTTGTGAGTTTCAGAATGCCTTTCTGCATTACTGCATACCTCAAGGCCTCATATATTCCAGATGTGCTGAAGTGGCCAAGAACCCCCCCCGACGCACCCACCAGCACCCCCTCACTGCTCAGCCCCCCTGCTCTCTCATAGTCTTTGCTCTACAGAAGCCCTGAAAAAACAGGCAATATCCCAAAACCATTAAAGACCCTGAATGAGTGGGCATGGCTTTTGAACTTTTTCAGACTCTGAGAAAGTCCAGACAGCACGCTGTCCTTTCAACACATCCAGAAAAAAGACTTTCACCCTTACTCTCAAAAAAGAAACAAACCATATTTTAATGATAAGGATGTGAACCCACAAGAGAGAGAGCAGACAGTTCTCTTGTGCCAAAGGTACCAAAGCTGTCTCTCCACAGTCTTGTCAGGGGGGTAATTTGTCAGTCTTTGATTTTTAATGATACATTTGAAGGTAGTGTCACAGACTTGTGATATACTATCTGCCTTTCTAACAAGCTCCTAATGTGTAATATGGAACATGTGTTGACATGAAAGTCCCTCTGCTTAAACCATTAAAGCCATTTTATGAGACACCTTCAAGCATTAACATTCCATTTTCACTTCTATAAGCACACAGAAAAAAAATCATAACTCATCAGAGTCATGAATGTTTAGACTTGTGACAGTCGAACACAGTGTCTCTGTGGCTCTGTGGTCATGCAGCAGCATCTCGGGATGTCTCGTCTGTCTTTTTGCGTCACTGCCATCTACTGAGAGTTGGCAACGCAGGCGGCAATTAAAGCACCCTGGAAAGCCTGTAAACGTTTGCTAGCACATCATGCAATTATGGCTAGCCTAAGTATCTATCAATATGCAGAGTTTTGGGTAATCAGCAAACATGCCACAGCAATTTGATTCTTTTATTTTTGGGTTGCTATTATGATCAACTGTGCATCGCAGAAAATTGGGTTTTGCTGACTCAGCACTGATCATAAACAGCTATTTTAGCGTTTAAATCATCACATCAAAGGAACTATATCAGATGTAAACTTGTTAAATAACTTTAATTTTAAATTATTTGAAATATATTCTATTATTTATTTGGTGACAAATGTCAGATGTCAGAATATATGCAAATAAATATTTGAGTATACCAGTCTGTTCTGGCAAAGTGGCTCTCTGTATGATTCCACAAAGGAAAGTATTTGATGTGACCCATGCGTGTCTTTTTAAGCAAAGAAAATACTGCACTTTTTTCCCCCCTTTCTTTTCCATTAACGCCCCTTCTTGGATTCAGTGGGAGCCTGAATAATGTGGAAAAAAGGTGATACTTTACTTTGAGCCAGAAGACGATTTTTTTCAGAGAATTCCAATCTTGTGCCCAGCTATTATATAAAGTTTTAAAGTATATCAAAACAATATTTAATTAGTCATACTGCTCAACCACAAAACAGGTGCCATATTTTAACAGGAAAAATGTATTTGAAATAATTAGCAAAAAATATGCCAGTTTCACGACTTTTTGTATTATACTGAATATGTGTAAACATTTGTTCCATATGCGAGAACCCTGTTCTTTTGCCAAATGTCGTGCGTAAAAGTCGTGCGTAAAACCGTAAATGTTTCCAGCGACTTCCAAGTGATGGGCTGAGATAAAATCCTATTTTCCTGCAATAAACTCTGATTTATGTCCTACACAACAGATTAAAATATATATTTTTGAATCATCCCAGCAATTGATCATCATTAATGTTGTCAGTGATAATTTTTACGCACAGATTAAAACTGAAGTATTTGTGTGATAATTAACATACGAGCACTGTCGCTGCTGACCACACCTGGATGTCAAGCATTAGACCAACTAGAAGTTACTCTGTTCATTTTTGCACAACAAATTACGAAGTAAACGTTTTTTTTATTTATCTCTAAGCATTAAGGCACACTGGCACAGCAAACTCAAATAAAAAGAACCGTGGATATTGGGTGACATCACTGTTACATGATGCACACTTTTGATGTTTTTAATGTATAGAGGAAATAACTTTTGACCATTAAAGAATCATATTAAAATGTGGAAAAATAGAACAAAACGTGAAGCTAAAAGTTTAGAGACAGCTGGTGACTACCACTGCCATCGTCAGGCTGTGGGACGCTCTTTGGCTGCCCTGAACTCTCCACAGCGACACGTGCAACCAAAACCAATACCTTACCTGCTTTAACAATTGAAGTTTGAAGGGTTAAAATTAACGTGATCACAGCGGCTAACGTTGAATCCCATTGACGCCTTTTCGTTTTCCAGCTGATAGTCCATCTTTGCATCTCCATGGTGAAGCGCCCGCAGCTACACTGAAAACGGGCGACTTTTTTCCCCCTTCCTTTTTTTTGTAAAAAAATCCACAGAAAGCAGGCTTATTCTACAGCGCCATGTGTGAAAGTTTGAGGATTTCTCTTTCAGTCAGACCGGGCCCCTCAGATTCACTTGCGCCCCCCCAGCCCTAAGCCCAGCGCTCACACTGATGGTTAAGGGCTTTCATGAAAAGAAAAAAGAAAAAAAAAAAGCGCAGGATACTTTCCTCCCTGAGAATTGTGCACCGTGAGGAGGCAGGACAAACGCAAGCTGAACCTGAACAGATTTTAGGGCTCTAGCAGTCGGAAACTCGCAGCTCATCAAATCAAGAGTTTGGAGAGCTCTCTCTTGGCCCGCCCCCCAGCGCACTGATAGAGAAAAGTTACAGCATCAGTCGGAGCATCACTGCATCCCGGTGCAAACTGTCGAGCCAGTAAGACAGATTAAATCAATAGGTGCTGTAGGAAGCGCAATTTACAATAAATAAATAAATAAATAAATAAATAAATAAATAAATAAATAAATAAATAAATAAATAAATAAATAAATAAATAAAATGCAACACAATATGTATAATAAAGCTGGGGTGGAGTTGTAGACATTTCCTGAATTAGCAGGCAACCAAATAACCCATGCACAGCTCCGTAACAAAAACATTTGCCAAAATGAAATGTTTTCCAGAGTTTGGGAGTTTCCTTAATTAGTTTTATTTATTTATTTATTTTTTAATTTGTTTTTGTGACAGTAAAGCTTTCGAGCCTGATAATAACCATTGTTAAGAGATGACTGGAAGCACAGGTGGTAGCCATAGAGTTGTGTTTATTGGTCTGAAAGACAGATTTTAACAGTTCAGTGGAACTGACCCGACACAAAGCTGATTCATATGTCAGTTAGTGTTGACTTGTTTTTCAAAGGACAGAAAACAGAGACATGAACCGTGCAGCTTTTTGTTCTAACGTGATAAAAGTTAATGCTGGCATTACTGAAAAGATGTAGTGGAATTAACTTGAAATCGTGTGGATGATTTGTGTCTATGTGGCTCTTTGATGGACTTGTGACCTGTGCAGGGTGTACCCCGCCTTTCGCACAAGGAAGACGCAGGCATGATGGATGGATGGATGAGGTTTTAGAATTTTTTTAGGCTTAAAATGTCTTGTCTGCAGCTACATTTGTTATGACAAATTGTTTGACTTGCTTAAAGTAATAATCTATGATCAGTTTGAAAGGCATGGCATTTAGTCGAAGCTTTATTCAACCATCTGGACTTTGGTTTCGGAGAAATTTTAGACTTTTTGTTTGTTTAGTTTTGATACATTTTGTTTTAAGTTTTTTTTTGGTGGAGTCAGAACCTCTTGTTCATGTTGCTTCTTGTGGATGTGATCCAGAATGTCAGTCTCTGTTCACTGGCAGAAAAAATAAAAACGTGAATAACCAAACATGAACTCTTTAGTTTTCGCTTTCAAACAGCCTGGCTCAGTCAGCCAGAATGTACTGACACATGTCCAGATTTCAGTTCCTAAGATACTGTACAATTTTCAAGAAGGCTTGGCTTCAGACCTGCAGACTTTGTAGTTAGAAGCTTATGATTACAAGTGGTGCATTTGCTAAAATGCGGGCCAAGATGACATTGTATAATTATTCTATAATAAGTCCCTGCTCTATGCACGGCTCAAACAAGTGCAGCTGCAAAAATAAAAATGTCTTGAAAACGTTGCCCAGTGGTTTTGTTATTCTATAGGAAGCAGTCTTTAATCAGTGCTTTCAAGTTTCAGACAGAAATTCTTTTTGCTGTCCAGTAACATTGAGCTGGTTTTGCCTTCTGAGGACTCAGAGTCACTTGGGTTCTTGAGCCCGACACAAACTCTTAAACACATGTAGATGTAATAAATGTGCCACACTTGGATGTTTAACCAATACACAGGTAATGTATAGTTTTCCCAAGACTGACATTTTATGCAAAACATGTCTTTATGTGTTTATTATATATGTCCAAGCAATTCAAACAAGTCAAAATTAAGATAAATGTTTTAGGATTATTGCCAGTCATGTAACTTTGAATTGTATGATATTAATATTTAATATTTTTAACACCAAAGAAAACAATCATCCTCCCACAAATCTAGGTTTAACTCCAAATTATAAAATACTTCCATTCATCAAAGAAACCTTCAGTTCTAAGACACAGCAGTGTTGAGACCAACAAAAAAATACTTCCTATTGCTATTTTTTGAATTTGATTTATTATTTTTTTCTCTGCAGCATTAAAGCCAGCATTCATGCAGAATGCAGACGTTTGCAAGGTGTTCAGCGTTCAAGCAAACCTTTAAACGCAGGTGAACACAACTTTGAGACAAACTGTAATTATTGTCATAAGACAGAAACACGATTCCTATCATCTATATGATGGGATATGGAAAAAAAAGTTACAAGCACTTTGTCTGCAGAAGAAGACACAACCTGAAGAATTTTTTTCTTACCAATAATTATGAGGCTAGAAGGCACCATGCAGCTGGGTGAGGGTGGAGTGGGATGTGCAGCAGACACTTCTGACCACAAAATCACAGAGTGGAATGTATGTTCGTCTGGGCACGTTTATTATAGGGACATATGGCACCCAGATAAGATCACCTAGGAATGGATTTATGTGTAGGGAAATTGAAATTTGTTGAGGTAAACTACTTAAAACAGCTAACTTGGGATAAAAAAGAAAAGCGAGTGACAGGCAACATGAAAGTAGTGATACAAACCACTGTGTTACTTGACATTTTAAAATAAAACCTAAAACCTGGACAACTTTTTTCTACGAGACATCATTCAGATCTGATTTGCACAACTTCCATTGGGACCAGCACTTTATATTTTATCTGTAAAATATGGTAAAACCAGAACTATAAGAAAAAATGAGCAATTGATTAAAAGAATCTTAGCACATCAATGCCATGCAACGTGTTGCATGACCATTTGTACAAAATACCATTAGATGAAGCAAAAACAACCTGGAAAAAGATCAAGTTTGTTTGCAATCTGTTGGTTTGTTCTTTTATTTTTATTTCTGTGTTAAAGTAGACATATTATTCTTTTAAATCCTTCGTTTTCATATTTAAACCATTTAGGGTCTTTATAAAGTGGAACTACAATGCTTATGTCTGACTGGTGTAAGGAATTCAGTTTCCCTGTGAAAATCTGTTCACCCTGTGTTGGGAGGGCTGGACCAGTGATTCTCTCTAAGGTTAACCAGCAGGGGGGAAAAGATTTTCACAGGGGAACTGGATTTCATGCAACACCGGATATCTTTCCTATAGTAACTTTACCAGCCCATCTTTCACCCCTTTTCTGATGAGTGGTTCAACAGCTTGTTTTGTTACTGTTCCTTTAAGATGCTTTAAGCTCCACCCCCTTCCGGCTTCCAGACCGGTTTACTCAGCTTGAGAGTGGGGTTTAGCATTTTCTATCTCGCAGAATCATTTTATTTACAATTTAATTCAAATATTTCAACAAGGGAAGACTTGTCCATCCAACCTTATGTTGGAGCCAGAGTCTGACCCAATACCAGAGTTTGACCAAGACCAAGAAAAAATTAGGATGAGGACATTGTAGTTTTTTTTTGTGTCACTTCAGTAGAAAACAAAACCAAATATTATTAGTTTATTTAGTTTATTTATTTCTTCATCATCAGTGACTTTTTTTAAGTGAAGAGAAAATAGAGACAGAGAGAAAAACAGAGAGAGAAGTAATTAGAAAGATAGAAAGACTGAAATAGCGATTAGAAGTACAGTGGTTTGCAAAAGTATTCATACCCCTTGAACTTTTCCATATTTTGTCACATTACAACCACAAACATAAATATATTTCACTGGAAT